CCTCCTCTCTCTCTCTCTCTCTCTCTCTATGTGTGGGTGTGTGTTAGTGTTTATGGGTGTGGAATGTGCTTATGCTGCAAACGGCCACCCCTGCGCGCCAGGAACTCTCACTCAGGGCGACCCGGTGCTATGTTCGCGATCAATGTAGGCATACACGTATTTACGTATATAGTTCTGTGTGAATACAGGGGTACGCAATATATGCGCAGTCATACGGTCATACACAAGAAAACGTAAATACGTATAGCATCTCTAGACACGCACAATCTACATGTAAATATATACAGTCTACGTAAACATGCACAGCAAACACTTTGTAATACTATGCAATATTTTACAGCTGAGCACAACGATGTGGCAGCCCTAGCGATTTCTGGTGCAAACGGCCCCAAACCTTCAGGTCCGGGTACAATAGGTGCTCCTGTTTCATTAGCCACTGACAGCGAATGGGTCGATATCATGACCCGTGCCGAAAGTGCGGACGACCGACAGGCGCTGCAGACGTTCTTTGTCACAGAAGCTGGTGTGTATTTAATGCGCAATTAATTGTTGATTAGTTGTTATATTTTCGTATGGATTGCAGCAGGCGTATTTAATGCGCAATTAATTGTTGATTAGTTGTGATATTTACGTATGGATTGAATTTGGTGTATTTAATGTGCAATTAATAGTTGATTAGTTGTGATATTTACGTATGGATAGCAGCTGGTGTGTATTTAGTGCGCAATTGATTGTTGATTAGTTGTAATATTTACGTATGGATTGCAGCAGGTGTATTTAATGCGCAATTAATTGTTGATTAGTTGTGATATTGCAGCATGAGTTGTCACCCCGTGGTAATGCGGTGTATTCATAGGTGATGGGCAGTTGTGTTAGTTTGATTAATTCGTTGTGTTGGTTTTCGTATTTCTAGTGATTACTATTTGCAATTCAGATCTCCCGGTACAATCATCTATCTTGTTTTATTAGTCATGGACTTCCCTACTTCTAATCTGCGGTCGCTTTCGGTATGTATACAGAACCTTGTATTACATACACCAATTCAAGTCCTCTCCTATTATCACTTTCTACCCAGAAACGCTGTTGTAGACATGTCAATACCCAATTCAATCAACTTCTATTGGCATATCCCACCCATCATTTACGGCCCTGAACCCGAGCATTGTAGTTAATATTGGGGTCTTCCGCACGATTGTAATTGGCACGACAAATTGAAGTTTAACTCAAATCGGCATTTTCTTACCCGATATTACAGCCCTAAAACCCAAATTCGAGGATTATTATTTGGGTCTCTGGGATTCGATGCTGGACGATGGCGTGTTCCCATTTGCCGAGAGCATCGATAATTATGAGTCATCGATGACTCATCAGGTACCGAACATCGCGGACGAATCAGATGTCTGGCGACTGGAACTGCTGCAGACTATAAATAGACATGAGTCACAACAGATGGCTGGGATCACCAATGATCTGACCGGCAAACGCGTGGAGGTAACATACCCGTTAGTAGATACATGTTTTATGTTTTGTTGTTTGTTTTGTAGTTGTTGTCGTTGTTGTTGTTTTTTGTTCCAATTTATTGCAATATTAAATGTATGGCTAGTCCGATACTGTTAAGCGAGATGTCATTGGAGGTTCAGAGTGTGGGGCGCGGTCCGTAGGTCATAGTTGCATCTAAATAGGAGTGCAGGCGGAGTTAAGTATGAGGGGCAAATACAAATGCGTATACGTATATCTATTCATGTGTAGAGTATTTGGGGTATATACAGACACGTATACGTATATCCATCCAGGTGTAGAGTATGTGGGGTATATACAGACACGTATACGTATATCTATCCATGTGTAGAGTATGTGGGGTATAGAAAAACCCATATACGTATATCTATCTATGTGTACAGGAGACGCTTGTGGAGATGGAGATGTAGTATACACACGCGTATACACTGTTGTCTACTATAGGCAATGTGGTCTTAGAGAGGGGTAGGTTGTATACGCATTTATGAAACTGTGTAGTAAACTTGTCAATGCTGTTCCATTTTTTATGGATTCAATTCACCCATCCCCAATGTTATCTGTCAGCCAATGAGAATTATCCATTCATCTGCTTACTCCTACCCACTTGCATCCCTTCCGTCTCATGTATGTATGTATGTATATATATATGTATGTATGTATGTATGTATGTATGTATGTATGTATGTATATAAATATCTCACTCTGTATCACTGCTACTGACTCACTGCAGACCGACGAGGATACGGCTCTGTTTTATGTACCGCACATTAACGACGTGGATTGCAACCTGCCCTTCTTCTGCCCTCCCAACATAGGCCACGCCGTGTTGTACCAGGACAGTTCACTCACAGGGTTGTATCAGGTAATCTCACGTGACCATGTGTGTGTGCTGATATGATCTATGTGTGTGCTGATATGCCGTGTTATACCAGGACAGTTCACTCACAGGGTTGTATCAGGTAATCTCACGTGACCATGTGTGTGTGCTGATATGCCGTGTTATACCAGGACAGTTCACTCACAGGGTTGTATCAGGTATTCACACGTGACCATGTGTGTGTGCTGATATGATCTAGGTGTGTGTGCTGATATGCTCTTTGTATGTGTGCTCATATGCTGTGTTGTACCAGGACAGTTTACTCACAGGGATGTATCAGGTAATCTCCAGTGATTATGTGTGTGTGCTTATATGCCGTGTTGCATCTGTATCAAGTAGGGATATGTGTGGGAGTGTGTGTGCACTTCTGTTTATGCATATATATACTTATACGTGTTTCTTTATATATGTCCGCGACTATATCTATGAGTATATATATTCGTGCATACACATACCCATATCTGTATTCACACACATATACATACTATTTGTGTATAGTTTAGTAAGTATTTGGGTTAGTGTTCACGATTTAACTACGTCGGCGTCTATGCTAAGTCACTGCGTGTTTGTGTGTAGTTTATTATTTGTTTTATATAATTTATAGTTTATTATCTGTCTTATTTGAAAGGTAAATAAATAGACCATGTATGCGATAGAAAGCTGTATACCTCCATTGTAGCCCTTTCAATCTCTAGTCACACGCAATACACAATTTAAACCCCTGAACCCTAAAATGTTACGTTTGTCTTGATGCCGCCCTGTCGGAGTTTAATGTGAGTTTAATGTGTACCAAACATTTCCTCAAACAGAAAGCTGAGAAGGGCCCCAGAGGTGGCAATGAGAAGAAGATAATCAAACGCAGCTTAGCCAATAGAAACACGTTATCTATAAATAGAACTGCGTCCGCAACCACGGCCAAGGATGCCTCTAAGGATGCGAGCGCGCAGAAAAAACGTAAAAAGCACCCCGCGGAAAAAGCAGGTAGGAGGGAAGCTGTACAAATATTTACACATAACACACACACACACACACACACACAC